AGCACATAAGCAAAAGAGAATGCAAGTCATCTACACAATGCCGCAATTGGCCCCTTTCTTCAGCAAGCAAGGAATATGAATTATTCCCCTTTCTTTCTAATGTATTAAAAAAATGGAGGGATTTTAAGTGTATCTCTTTTCCACAGCCGCAAGGTGGCACACATCCTCAATGTTGTTCCTGCAGAGGGCAGGATGAAGCAAGGGCAATATCTGACTGCCCTGTTGATTCCTTGCATGTAACGGTCACATACTTAACTCTGATATTAACCTGCCTTGTGTTATGAATGGATTATTTTCTCAAGGGTGACATGGATCAGATTGGCGGTCAACGGAATGCACTGATTTAGGCTGACAGCTTTGCACAAGCCAATTGTCTGTGTGACCTTAGTAATACAGAACAAAAACTCCTTTGAAGCCGGTAGGGAAGTTTCTTCCAATTGTAGATGGTAATGCTGTCTAATACCAAAATGCAATATAGTGCGATTTTCAGGAATTTTAAGAAAAAACGTTAGCAATTCTGAAATTTTGATATATTTTTTTTTAAGAATACGTTTGATTCAAGTATAAAAGTAGTATCTGTGTCTATATAATCTATAATATTTTGATGATCAGGAAATATTCAAAAATATACCAGTTGACATTTACACATTGGTCCATATCGTATCTGGGTTATCTTACGCAACTGCTTTTTCTCTCAAAACTGTTTTTATATATATTGTACCGCCATGAAAATGTTTCTCAGTTAAAACAAATGTCTGATAGAAACTAACAAATATTGTACAGTTTCATCCAGTTATACGTCTTGCATTAAACTCCTGCTCTTTCCTTATTACATATAAAGTAAAATTTTAATTCTAAACACTGTTCATCTAAACAATCTCATCTGAATTCAAAAGGGATTCTTTACTTAAACTCAAAACTTAATAGCTCAAATCTGTTGCCCTTATTTGTTCAGATTCCTCATTTCTGTGCATCTGAATAAATGAAATGTGTTAAGCTTTTACCCAATTTTTCGTACCTAGATCCAAATTGAATAGATAACACTGGATACCACGCTTGTCTAATATTGGTTATTTTGTTTTAAAAACAAGTGAATTACATTAAGGTTCCTCCACCAAGGAGACCATAAATCCAAGTGCTTGCATCCAAGTGTCATTCTGATACAGCACAAAAGGGCTGCTACAAAATATTGCTGGAGTTGCTGTCTCTGGAGCCATGAAGCCAGTCAGGTTAGAATGACAAAAGACTGAACCTATCAAATGCAGATGCTCACTGAATTCAAATTGAGAAGGAGAACTTTAGATAAATTTAATTGTTTGCTACTTTTATTCAGTAGCATGCTGTTCCTATTATTGAAGATTTTATCTGCTGGCCCATGTCTAAAGGCCATTTAAATGAACGTGGCCTCAAAACCCAGGTGTCACTTCCATGGGACCTGTTACAAGGGTGAGGCTGAGACCCAACTGACTGAAGTGACCTTGCAAATCTTTGAAGGCTTTCGGATTAATAGTGCGGCAGTCATCCACAATAGTATAATACATCCGTTAATGCAATTTATAAATCTACCCCCATTCAGAACATGGACAGCTTCACTGAAAATTAAATTAGAGAGATGCTTTGCACGAAACATAATGAAACCTTGACATTTCTTTCCAGTGACACACTTTCCCTGGAGGGTAGAGATGCTGTTGTAAAGAAATGAAAAGAAAAGCTCATTTTCTCCTTCTTTCTTCTTCTCCATTGCTGAAGCGGCAGTCTTTTAGGCGCGTTCGTCTGTTACTTTAAAAGAAATGCAAAAGGGATTAAAATGTAGATACAATTTAGACATTAAATGTCAGGGACTTTCTATCAAAGAAGGGACCTAGAATTTTGGACTACCTGTGTTTAGAGTTAGCTGAAGGACAGATCCCAATAATCAACCTGTTTGATTATTGATAGTCACCCTAACTGAGTTATCACAAAATACTAAACGGAATGTCAGATTTATAGAATTTTATAGAACACCTGGGAAAGAAGGAACAGGGAGAATTTCTTCCTCTTTGATTTTGCTTTTTCGTCGTTTTCCCTACAAAATCCATTTTTTGGATTTGAAAAGTTTCTGACTCCTTCTCTTGACTAGGAGAATTTACCCTGATTTTTGTATCAATAGTGTTGAATAACTGAGAAGAAGTCAGTCTTGCTACCATTATCAAAGTTATTAAAACTCTGTAATACTAAATAACAGTGCAGTCTTATAGGATGTAAGGATTTTAGATTCATTGGGCAAAATGGAAGTGTCTTTGGTTTCCTAAAGCATAGATTTGTTTCCATAGTGTCACTAACATTCAGATGTTTGATTATATTTTAATGAATGTGAAATGGATGTAACCAAATATACAAATTTAAATCCGGTTCGTAATTAAAGGAAGAAGAGGAAAAAAAAATGCTGTCTCTGTGTGTTTGCATGTGAAATAGAAAATTGGGGCAATTAGATATCAGCATTTGGGGAGAATTAAATTAATGAGGTCTTTAGGATTAAATAAATGTTGTCACTATTTACGATAGTTTGTAATAATGATAATTATTAGATCAATTGCCAGAGAAATTGTGATAATAATTCTTTAATGAGGCGCAAGGTTTTTAATAAGGTGAAATCAGAATACTTATGTTGCTACCTGACTGGTATGAAACATCTATCCCCAAAGCTGCAGCCTAAACACTGAATTCTATTAACTAAATAAATTTGAGGATGTCAAATTAAGGTGATTTCAGAAGTCTTTAAGCACCAGTAAGATTGTTGAAAATAATTTTTTTAAAAAAACACCGCAGTGATAAAATACATCACCAGTATTAGTCTTCCGGGTAAAAGAAAATATATGGAATATTTAAATGAATATATGGAGAAGGGATAATGCGTGGTTAGATTAGTGAATATTTCTGAAAACACTCTGTGACTTTGCTTTCTGTCTTCCTTTGTATTGAAAATACCCTTGGTGTCCCCATTAGATACCGAAAGCAAAAGCTTTATTTCTTCAAAATAATGGACTTTGGCAATCATGTAGCTGGCCAGTGACTTTCCAATCCACCACTGTAATCTGAAAGGACTGATGGATATAATTGCTTGAAAAAACACTCTACTCTGCTGTCTTAATGCATCAAGATAGTCATCATTCAATTACACATATTCAAAGCTGTCCCTTCCATTTTCTCCTTTTAAGCCCTCTCCTGAAGTAAAGTAAAAACAAATCAGAAATGTGGTACTCTTTTCTTCCTTTCCTCCCTTCGCAAACTCTTTTATTTATTCTTTAACCAATGTTAAATTTTCACAAAGCCGATATTGAATAGCACAGGACAGCAAGATCCGCTTTGACCCAAGCTGCTCTTTGCCAAGTTGCATCTCAGGTTTCAGAGCATTCCCATTCGCAGACTATCCGTGTGTGAAATGATGCATTAAAGGAAACATTCTGCTGTAAGGGAGGGGGAAAAATCTAGCATTGCAGTTTTTCTTCTGCCTTTGCAAAAAGTCAGCTATGATTGGAGCCAGGTTCACAGCAGGCAAAGTCAATATAGTAGTAGCTTCCCATTAGAGAATAATAAAGGAGAGAGCACTGTGTCAATTTTCTTAAGATCATGGGTGAACAGTGGGAAACAAATGTAATAAATTGTATTAATAATAGATATTGGTATTATAACTTTAAGAGACAGATCACTAAGTTTATGAATACACAGTGGAATGGCTTTTATCTCTAAAAAAAAAAACAGCTCCTGGAGTCTATTCCACAGTAGTCCATTGGATAAAATAACATAATGGTTAAATTTGGAGAGAAACACCCCTCCCCCACTTTTATCAATGCCATTAAAGAGGTAGAAGATCTAATTACATTCATATAGCAATAGCACTTAGACTTATATACCATTTTGCAGCCCTCTCTAAGTGGTTTACAGAGTCAGCATATTGCCCCCAACTATCTGGCTCCTCATTTTACCTACCTCAGAAGGATGGAAAGTTGAGTCAATCTTGAGCCGGTTGGGATCGAACTGCTGGCAATGAGAGGTGAGTTAGCCTGCAATACTGCACTCTAATCACTGCTCCCCCACAGCTCTAACTGTATATAAATATAATTACTACATCAAGCCGAATACACTGCATTAAAAAAAAAATGGGAGGGAAAACGTTTGAGGTTCTTTGAATGTCTCATTCATAAACCAAATTTTGGCATGCCATATTAAGAAAAACAAAATTGCAAAATAATAATAATAATAATAAATAAAGGGGGAGATAAATTGGTAAGGGCTTAGGGTTTTCTAACATGGTCCCATATTTCTCAGAATTATTATTACATCTCAGACCAGTTCTTTTAAGTGTCATAAATTATGTAGCTCCTGAAATGTTCTTCTCAAAGACTGAGAACAAGGTCTCTAATAATCTTGCAATCCTGATTCTGCTGCAGAACATACAGGGAAATGCTTTGTATGTTTCATCAAGCTTGATTGGCAACGATCCACAGGCTATTATTTGAGCTAGAAATGATGAGGAAGCAAATTGGAGATAGTTTAACTTGGGATTTACTACATCAAATGGAATGATGGACACTAATTGACAATTTTGAAAAGGGCCAAGACAGTGTCATGGAGAATTGGGCTATAAATAACTACCTTAATTTAGCAGCTGTAAGGGACAACAATGAAAGATGGGTTATTTCCATGTTTGTGAGCTCCTTGAATTCATCATGTTGCTTGCTAGGTGAGACACAGTGCTGGTTCCTTCCAATATATCTGAAATGGAAAATGGAGGCAACCTGTTGCCAAGATTAAGAGCAGATATATATGGTACAAGTTACCTTCAACATTTTGTCCTTAACAGGAGGGAAATCTCAGTTGTGTAGAGATCTGGATTCATATCTATGAAAGGTTGAATTGTTTGGGCATGTTCACAACACCAGCTTGAATAAGCTGGAAAAGATGTAAAATACATTCCAATGTGATCTTTGAAACAAGACATCTTGAACATTGTGTTTCAGTTCGGCAGAATGAGGGTGAAAATAGAAGTTAACGAAAACATGGGTGGCTGCCAAAATCTGCCTCCCTGCTGTGTGTTCTGGCAGCAACCACTACTGCCTGGGATAAGAAAAGGTAATGGGAAAACTCAGTATGATGGTATTATGCCACATGGCATATTTCACAACGTATTTTTAGGAAGAGGGCTGTGGCATTAAAACTGCCTTAGATGGCTTGATGATTTTTTTGTCACACAGAGGGAGTGTGACAATTGTTTTTATCAGCCATCTACCATATTATTCTGTATTATCTCAGTGGGAGGGAAAGGGATGGATCTGCATTTGCTTTGTAGCTGTTCCATTCTGACCTCTTAGACTGATTTTCTACACAATTATTTCGGATAATTTATACAGAGATCCTGTGTCTCCCTTCTAGCAATAGCAATAGCACTTACATAGTGCTCATAGTGCTTTACATCACTCACTGGGTGGTTTAAAATGTCACCATATTGCCTCCCAAAATCTGGGTCCTCGTGTTACCAACCTCGGAAGGATCAACGGCTGAATCAACCTTGAGCCTGTCAGGATTGAACTCCAGGCTCTGGGTAGAGTTTGCTTTCAATACTAGGGCTCTTTTGCCTTCATCACTTTTTACATCTGCATGAAATTGTTGAGGGAGTCCTTCCTGATTCTTCATCTGATGAAATACAGTGTGCCACAAACTCTTTTTGAAGAGTTTTCTGAGATGACCAACTTTTCTGGTGGCCACGGGCTGGCTTAAAGAGGAAAAAAAAGGAAGCTGGCTCCAAACAAGATTGGAGCACCATGATAGCACTTACAATTGATAGGGTTATATACATCTTCAGAACGATGTCTGTACCTCAAACTGAGGCAATAGCAGGAACATTTACCGTATTTTTTGGAGTATAAGACACACCTTTTTACCCCCCAAAAGGGGGTGAAAATTTAGGTGCGTCTTATGCACTGAATGTAGCCCTGCCCACCCACTGGCCCCCACCCTTTGGCCTGTGCCTCGCAGCAGTTACCTCCTTGCAAGCAAACAGCAAGAAAAAACAGCTCCTTTCAGCTTCAGCATAGGCTAATTACCACAAGTTGATTAGATCGGCCTCCCGACTCTCAGCTGATTTGCTCTCAGCTGTTTTGCGCAGCGCTCTGCTGCTTGCTGTAAAGAGTGCTGGAACAGATTTTTTTTCCCCTTGTGCTAATCAAGCTATGCTGAAAAGCGAAACTGAAAGTAAAGCAGGCTGTTTACTGCAACGTGGCAAAATGAGGCAGAGGGAGATTTCTTTTTCTTCACCAAAAAAGGTAGGTGCAAACAATGGGAAATTTAGGGCAAAAGAGGAGAGTTCAAGATTTTAAAACACAAAAGAAAAAAGGCAAAAATAAAAATGGGAAGGGAGAAAAAGAAAAAGAAATGAAAGAGAAAGATGTTATACATATTTAGAATTGAAATATGAATAGTAGTAAGAAATTAATGGGAAATCATGATTGTAAAAATAAAATGAATAATAATTGGAATATTTTTCTATATGGGCAAGGCTTTGGGTTATTGGGAGAGTTTAAGATGTGAAAATGAGTAACATAAGGGGAAAGCTCTATTTAACTAGGGAATTGTAATAATTGAGATACTATTAATTGTATATTGTGTTGAAAGCAGAAATGGTTAAGTTGTGGTTTGGAGGAATATATGGGGGAAATTATTTGGTTTATTATTATTGGTAAATATAATTAATTGATTTGTAAGAAATTGGATTGCATGGAAATAATTGGAATATTCATGTTCATATTGATTAATATACAAAAAATATAGTTATATAACTAATTGATTTATATAAAAATGAATTTGTATTAAACAATTGTTATATTACATAATTAACCAATGTGAGGATGAATATAAAAATAGATGACAATGGGAAGGGGTATAATATAGAATAGAAGGGAAAAATTGAATTTGATTAAGATTAGAGATGAGAATGAAGGGTAATATTGGTTTTTTTTAAAAAAAAATAGATGAGGAATAAGTATGGCAAAAAGGAAATATAGAAATTGTAAATTTAATTGAAATGACTAAACACTGTTTAAATTTGTGAACCGGCCAAATACTCTGTTCAAAGAAAATACATTGTATGTTTGTATGTGTGTTTATCTAAAAAATAAAAAAAAACTTAAAAAAACAACAACAACCAAAAAAGGTAGGTGCGTCTTATACTCTGGTGTGTCTTATACTCCGAAAAATATGGTATTTTAAACCAGGCTTAGCCAATCAACCACGTTTGTCCATTTTAAAAGAAAATTACACTGGTACATCTGCCAGTAACTTGAAGGTTGGAGCCATGGTGGTGCAGTGGTTAGAATGCAGTATTGCAGGCTAATTTCTGTGACTGCCAGCAGTTCAATCCTGACCGGCTCAAGGTTGACTCAGCTTTCCATTCTTCCAAACTTAGTAAAATGAGAACCCGGATTGTTGGGGGCAGTATGCTGATTCTGTAAACTGCTTAGAGAGGACTGTAAAGCACTATGAAGTGGTATGTAAGTCTAAGTGCTATTGCTATTGCTACTGGCAGACTCAATCTGTTGTGCTTGAATTTGACTGGAGAGGTTATAGAAAAAAAAATCTGTGGACTCAAAATTTGGCAGCCTGATTGATTCAAAGGTTGCCAGTTAGTTTCCTGGCAAAATACAGGAAATAAGCACTTACAAAATAATTGCCGATGGTTATTTAAAACCCTGGACACTTCAAGCCTAGTCTATCGAAGAAATCTTGCAACAGCTGCTGATTCTCCTAGCAGAAATTCAAAGTTAGCCCTTCTCTGTAATGACCCCTTAGATTTAGAATAATTGTTGAATCTTTGGATGGTTGGAGGAAGCTTTAAAAGTAGATATCAGTAGTCAGGCTTTTAGTTAATATTGGTTTTGGTAGATTTTTAAAATTATTTAACTTATTGAAAGTTTTTTTTTTCTTATTTTAAGTTGTTTTATTTGTTGGGGAATGTTGCTAATGATATATTTAAGTAACAGGTGATTCAGAAATGTAGTGCTAATAACAAGTATACATATGAGTATGTTTTTTTCCCCCAGCTTCCCTAGTATTAGCTTACAGCTGAAATTCCTTCGTCTTAGGTCACAGCTGAAATTCCTCCATCTTGGTGTTAGAGCAGACTTATCAATAGCTTCTTGAAAATCAGTTGCAATGCCAATGATCCCAGTAAAAGAATTGTCATTATTGCTATATTTCAGCACAACTGCCACTTTCCTCCATCCCTCCAAAATGCGCAAAGTGACATACAGTCAGCCATTCTTGTCCCAGGATGGCAGCTTGGTGAGAAGAATTGCAGCTAATGGTCTTTAAGCAGCCACCTTCTGTGTTCATGGTTACTTGGAAATAATTGTAAGTTTTCCATCACACAGATATGAACACTGGACTAATTATTTTCAGTAGCTGAAGACCTATGAGCAAGCGTAATTGCATAGTGATAATTCATAACACCACAGGTGTTCATAAAGAACTCTTTGTTTAGTCTAAGAACTGTCTCTTTTTAGCAATCCACTCCTTTGCAACCATATATTAAAGATACAGAATATCTAACATTGGTAAACAGCTAAAGCTAGAGCTCTGGTATACTGTTTCCTTCAAGATTAAACTTCTACTCTAGGTTCTTGCAAGCTATATACTCATGAAGGTGAACAAACCAAAGAATAGAATAGCTGTTACTTACTACTCCTATGCAGGACCTAGCAAGAGGACACAGTGTTATAATTGTTTGCTAAAATGAACACCTAGTTTGACCCCCTAAGTTGGATGAGAAAATACTGGAGAATTCTTCTTACAGTGCATTACTAAAAATTCTATAATAGAAAGAAAGAGCTATAAATAACTAAGAGGTCGGATATGTTTCCTACAGAAACCCTTCATGTATTCCTCTTTATCAAATATTTCTATTATTGTTATTGAGATTGCTAGACAAAGAGAACTTCCATGAGGTGCTTTATACAACCAATTCAAAGTGATTCATATATTCTTCATGGTCACACACAAACGTTTTCGGTTTTTGAACAAAGGTTGCAATGTTTCTTTAACTAATGGATGAGTTTCTCTTGGACTTCCTCCCAGATAAGTGTGTGTAGGATTATGGTTTTCTGTCAGCATAGAAAAAAGTATAACCCCTCTTTGCTCAAGCCACAGATCTCGTTACATTTTTTTTTTCTTTAAAAAGGGAGTTTAAGCAATGATACCTTAACATCTGTACCAGTTTATGCAGGGCTGGAATGTATTTGTCATTTGTTCTTCCTCTCATCTGTCTGTATTCTCCCAGGAGATGTTTGTTTCAATTGTCATACAGGTAAAACACTGTTCGGTGTAGGTTTGTGGTGCAAATTATTTCAGTCTTTTTTGTGCTGCAGCGTTGAATTGCAAATGGGTTTTTTATTCCTCCTCCTTTGAAGGGATCAGAACTGCTCTGCAGTGAGTCACTCATCTGTCAGTTAAAGAACTTGCAACTCTGGAGCTGATATTATGAAAAGAGAGAGGAAGTGTTTCAGAGATAACAAAGCCCGAGAACCGAGAGGTTACAAAAATGAAATTGCATTTCTCATCTTTAGAGCAAATTTATTAGTATAAAGGCTGGGGATGAATTGTAGCTGGGGCACCGGATGAATATTGGGTGCCAGAAGCCAAACTAGCAAAAATAAAACATTTAGAAACCCAAAACATAGATTTTTCTCGTATGTTTTTTTATCACTGGCTTCTCAGGTGTATGTGCATATTAATTCTGCTTGTAGACCTCTCAGTGAAGGGCATCTTCTGGACACTGCAGAGGTGAATTAAAAATGTGAAACATGGTACAGTAGCAAAGATAATATATAATAAAGTTGAGACGAAGCTAGTGCCAGCTGATAGAACAATATTAATAAACAACTCAGCAGTAGACGTAGATGAGTATTTAAAACAGTATTGTCATTCTTGTTGGCATTAGCTGAAAACAGAGTCTTGACATGTATCTGCAGAGATATGGGTGTGTCAGAGAACATGGGATATAATTCCTTATATATTTTTATTTGAGAACATAGCTAGCCACCTTATAAACAATCATTTTTGAGGGAGGGATCTCCCATGTTACTCACTATTTAATTGGAAATTATTTAAGTTGACCTTGAAGCTTCTTGCATACATTCTTCTAAGCTGTAATTTGCTTAATTAAAGGAACATAAATAAAATTGGTGTTACTGCAATCGTTTCTTCCAATTCTTCCAATTTCGTAAAGTTGCGTTTTAGCCCTTTAGCTCTCATCTTCACATGAGGGTTCCCTATAGAAGACATGCAGATACATGACAAGACTCTGTGTATAGAGTATGTGGGGAGAAGAATAATCCATTTCACACATGCTACAATGTCCTTCAACATGTATGGAGGAAGACCTCATGCTGGCAAGAGAGAACACTGTCCACATGGCCCAATCCTGAGTGAATATCATTTACTTTCAATTCTAATAATTTAATAGGATTAAAACTAAATGACACTTAGTTTTAAATATTTATTTAAGTGTTAAATATTTACATATTTTTACATGTGCTAAATTTCTATGGCCTATTTTATGTCTATTTTATTTGCTCAGTGAATGTTATATGTTTATAATTATATGACACAAATGAAGAAGCTCTCATTCCTATTCAAATCAAATAGTAATACCCAGCATTTGTGCTTATCTCACTTCATTCTCTCCTTTGCGTTGGCCAGCCCCCGCTCATCAAAACGTAAGACTCCTTATACTGTAATACTAATTTGTCTTCGTGTGTGTGTGTGTGTGAGAGAGAGAGATTGAGAGAGAGAGAGAGAGAGAGTTCATGCCACTCATTAATGAGGAATATACTTATGGTAAATGAAGAATAAAAGTACAGGTAGTCCTCGACTTATGGCCACAATTGAAGCCAACATTTCTGTTGCTAAGTGAGACATTTGTTAAGTGAATTTTGACCTATTTGACAACATTTCTTGCCACAGTTGTTAAGTGAATCACTGTAGGTCTTAGGGGAATCTGGCCTCTCCATTGACTTTGCCTGTCAGAAGGTTACAAAAGGTGATCCCATAATCCCAGGAGATGGCAACCGTTATAAATCGGTTGCCAAGCATATGAATTTTTTATCATGTGACCGTGGGGATGTTGCAACAGTCCTAAGTATGAAAAACAACCATAACTCACTTTTTTCAGTGCTGTTGTAACTTTGAATGGTCACTAAATGAACTGTTGTAAGTCAAGGACTACCTGTACTTGTAATCAAAATGAATTTTCTCTCTCTCCCCCATCTGAGATTATTAAGCATCACCGTCTTAGAGAAAAGGGATATTTTTATCCAGATAGCCAAATTACTCCATACCCCCCTATTATATTTACAGTCCATTGTGTTTTTCTTTCAATGCACAGAGGAGAATGATAAAGGACAACTTCCAAGAAAGCGGCGGAGGAAAAAACAGAAGAATGTTTGTCAAACTCCTGCTGATGGACATGGAAGTCCAGCAAGATGTGGAGGGCGTGAAAACCCGATTGGAGATAACTTGCAGCTGCAACACAGGGACGGTCCAAACTTGACTCAAAACCAAAAGAGGAAAATGAAAAAGAAGCGGCGGAAAGAAAAAATGAGAGCAGCTGGCTTACTAGGAAAACCCGTTGCTACCGAATTCACATATATGCCTGAAGAAAAGAGAGAGAGAGAGTTTGAAGTTGCAGATAAAGTAGATGACATACTGGATTTTTTGCAAGCAACACAGGAAATCTATTTTTCTGACAGTAGGTATATTTCATCACACATGACAGTGACTTGAAGGAGGGGAAACAAATTATTTTTCCACTGTCAGATATAGGGAGGGAGAAAGACTGATGATGGCTTTGTGCTCTCAATTTGAGAAAGAAAGAAAATACATACATAACTCCAATTGGGCCTATGCAAGCTATTTTAGATTCACCTTGCACGTTAAGGCAACAGGATACCGGTAGTCCTTGACTTGGGACCACAATTGAGCCCAACATTTCTGTTACTCAATGAGACGTTTGTGGAATGAGTTTTGCCCCCATTTGTGCTGTAGTTGTTAAGTGAATCTGGTGTCCCCATTGATTTTGCTTGTCAGAAGGTCGCAAAAGGGGATCACATGACCCTGGGAGACTGCGACTGTCATAAATATGAGCCAGTTGCCAAGCGTCTGAATCTTGGTGACATGACCATGGGGATGCTGCAACGGTCATAAGCGTGAAAAGCAGTCATAAGTCACTTTTTTTAGAGCCGTTGTAACTTTGAACGGTCCCTAAACAAACTACCTTTCCTCTCCTCTGAAGAGAAGGCCTTAACAAAACAAACCCTGAAAAGGTCACCTTGAACTGACTGGGTCCAGAGCTGTTGGAGGAGAGTCCTGTCAGCCTTCTTTCTCAAGTGTCAACTGTAGACTCTCAGTTGCATCGTACCAGTCTTAATTTCTGCCCTGTTTGGCAAAGCCACCCAACCTGGAACCATGTCAACCAGGACAGCAGGAGAAGATTTTCCCCTTCAGTCTCCTTCCACAGTGCTTTCCTCTTAGAAAGAAAGAGACTGCACTGCATTGCTTGGAAAGGAAGTTTGCTCAAAAGTATTTTGAAGCTAAACCTTCCCCCCCACCCCCTCTTTTGAAGATACGATCAGCCCTAGTTCCTATACTCAGGAACCAAGAAGACTTTTCCACTGCCCTTGATAATAAGGTCTTCATTTATTTATCAAATTTATAAGCTCACCCAACCTATAATGATTCTGGGAAGCATATCAGCTAAAAACATGCCCAATATAATAAAAGAGAAAAAGAAGATAGTCAACTGGGAACCAACACAGCTAACCTATTTATGCAATTCCTTCAGAAGGCACGTACTTCCTGAACTGGCTGTCTAAGAAAAGACCTTGTCTGTCAAGGCTTGCCCCAGTGAGGATAGGATCACTCAAACTTCCAGGATGATATCCTAGAGAAGTGCTTCTCAACCTTGGCGACTTTAATTCTGGGAGTTGAAGTCCAGACATCTTAAAGTGGCCAGGATTGAAAAACACTGTTCTCTATAGAGAACGTGTGTTGTGACAGGGAAAGTATAGTTCTATATCCTATTGGATGACACTTAAACTTGGAACCAGGATTGTGTCATATCTTTTTGGATGAGAAAGGTGGAGAAACAAGGATACTTGGATAGCCAGGCTTCAGGCCATGAAGATAGCCAGGCGTGATGCCATAAAGGACTTCATATTGCCACTCATGTAGCAGTAGCCACTCAATCTGTGCCACTCGTGCAGCAGAAGATGGAATCTGGGGAAGTGGGCTATTCACGGGAAAGCAATCAATTCTTAAATCACTTCCAGCTTTCAGCTCCAGTGCCAAATCTCTATCCTCAGAAGCTTTGACCTCTCTCTGTTGCTTCTGAATACCACGATTGGTCTATAATAGAGCTTCTCTCATTTATGAACTTATTCTGGAAGAATGGCCAATGTTGCATGCTTTATTAAGGCCCATTGGATGCAGATGGGGCTGTTCTTTTTTATAAATAATAGTTTTTATTAAAGTTTACAATGATAAAGATGAAAAAATAAAAAGAAGAATGAAGAAGCGGAGGAAATAAAATCACCCAACCCTCAGCCACCTCATATGCAGTGGTGGGATTCAGCCAGCTCGCATCACTTTGGTAGAACGGGTTGTTAACTTTCTGAGCAGTTTGGCAAACTGGTTTTTGGAAGAAATCATTAGGGCAGAGAACCGGTTGTTAAATTACTTGAATCCCACCACTGCTCATAGATGTTCTATATTGCAAGCTGTAGCTGATTCAGAAGACATGGATCGTAAGTGTGTCTGGCTGTGGACAGTGCAGGTAGTCCTCAACTTACAGCCATTTATTTAGTGACTGTTCAAACAACACTGAAAAAAGGGATTGTGACTGCTTTCACACTTTATCACTGTTGCAGCATCCTCACAGTCAGATGATCAAACTTCACACTTGGCAACTGGTTCACATTTAGTCCCCAGGACTACAGCGTCCCAGGGTCATGTGATCCATCTTTTGCCATTTTCTGTTCTGCCCCAGCTACGGACCCCATAGAACGCAGCACACACGAAGTCTGAACAAACCTTAGTTTACTAAATTAAATCAGTCTTTTTCAAACAAAGGCTGTTAATTAACTTTCTTAACAGCCTACAAGAATCCAAAGAATAAATAATCGTAATCTTACTATGGTTGGCAGAAAGCCCAGAAGCAGGAAGCTGATAAGAGAACTAAGATCAAGACGAAGGAGAGTGAACGAAGTTGTTCCCTGCAAATTGCTTCAGTCGTCGTCCTTCCTTAAATAGCCTAAGGGAGTGGCCAATTAGCCCCAAGCCTTACTCTCGAGGAGACCTCCTCCTGAGGAGCCACTCCTGCCTTTTGGCAGCTCTTCTTCCTCTTCACTTATAGGAGCTTCTGGAGGTCCTGAAGGCCCTGGCTGAATCCCCACCTCTGGCACCACATCTTCTCCAGCCTCCTCATTGTCTGCCTCGAGTGCCAGCTGCACAGGCTGCTGGCGCAGCACCACACCAGCCTCCTCGCTGTTGGAATCAGCTACTAGCTGCACAGGCCGCTGATGGGCCACAACATCTTCTGACAAAGTTAATGGGGAAGCCATTAGTAACTGTGTTACTAACTTAACAGCTTCAGTGAGCCACTTAATAACCGTAACAAGAAGGGTTGTAAAATGGGGCACTTAACACCTGTCTCACTTAGCAACAGAAATTTTGGGCTCAGTTGTGGTCATAAGTCAAAGACTACTTCTATTGATTCAAGCCTGCTCTTGTTATTTGTTTGATGCCTATTTCCAGGATAGCTCTGATACAATAGCAGATGTAAGGAACTATGCTTTTAGATGTACTTGAATATATGAATAATCATTGTTTATTCTAATGAGATGCATTTCTAAGCGCATGCACTGAAACTTCCCTTTTTCATGTAAACTACAGAACCTGTTTTCTGTGTCTCCCGTTTAATTCCTAAAGTACGGGGGACAATGGTATATAGTATGATTTCATGCTATACTTTCCAGAAGATGCAGTGGCACAAAGGTCCAGTAAATTATTCATGAGCAGGCATCATACACCCACAGGCAAAGATTTCAAAGAAAATGATCCTGCATTTTTCAGATTTAGGAAGTAGCTGTACTGAATACAGATTCCTTTATTTTGTTCAGATTGAATTTCAAACACATCTGCAAACCCTTGTTGGAATATAAACTTGAAGCTTTACTACCAGAGATGATAACTGGGCAGAAAGAAAGGGATGGGACGGGAAAGGACATAAGTGAAAAAAGTTCATTTTCATATTTGAAAAACATGGAAAAAATCCTCTATCTATCTATCTATCTATCTATCTATCTATCTATCTATCTATCTATCTATCTATCTATCTATCTATCTATCTATCTATCTATCTATGACAAGAATATGATAATTAGCTATGTTTGTGAAAGAAAGTTTTTCTTCTGCTTTGATTTACATTGTCACTGGGAATAGTCTATTTGCATTACTAAAAACATTAGCATAACTAGCATCTTTTTTTCTTTTTTCTTTTTCTTTTTTTTTTTGGCTTTAATTTATATGCCACCCTTTTCTGGAGACTCAGGGCGGCTTACAATGCGTTAAGCAATAGCCTTCATACTTTTGTATATTTATACAAAGTCAGCTTATTGCCCCCACAATCTGGGTCCTCATTTCACCTACCTTTGAAAGGATGGAAGGCTGAGTCAACCTTGAGCCTGGTGAGATTTGAACTTGCAGTAATTGCAAGCAGCAGATGTTAATCTGTTAATAACAGTGCTTTAGTCCACTGTACTACAGGCTTTTTCTTAATGCTTTTTATTCACTTTTCTTCCATAGTGTCTCATAAACAGTTGGATGACTTCTCTCACCCTTTCAGCCTCTTTCTATGTATGCTTGATGTTATTTTAGTAATGATTTTTTTTGAAATCACAGATTAGGGAATAGAAGTACTGTTCTAGGATGAGTTGTTTTTCAAAGGCATGTTGCTCTTGAAACATGACATATATGATCACTGATCCCTTGGCTCTTGAAACATGACATATATGCAAGGGCAGGCTGAGGATTTTGCACAGTATCTGCACGATAAAATCGCTCAGATTCGGGAAGGCTTGGACTCTGACTGGGTAGATCCCGGCGGGGTGACTGAGGCTGGTCTTGAGAATGTTACCTGGGATGAGTTCGACCCTGTGACTCCTGAGGACGTGGACAGGATCCTGGGGAGGTTAAACGCAACCACATGTTTATTGGACCCGTGCCCCTCCTGGCTGGTACTGGCCACCCGGGAGGTAACACGAGGCTGGCTCCAGAGGATCATAAATGCTTCTCTGAGAGAGGGTTTCTTGCCTCCCGCCTTGAAAGAGGCGGTGGTGAGGCCCCTCCTCAAGAAGCCTTCTCTGGACCCGGCCGTTTTGGCAAACTATCGTCCGGTCTCCAACCTTCGCTTTGTTGCGAAGGTTGTGGAGAGTGTGGTTGCGCGCCAGCTCCCACAGTTCCTGGATGAAACCGTCTATCTAGATCCGTGCCAGTCCGGCTTCAGGCCTGGGTACAGCACGGAGACGGCATTGGTCGCATTGGTGGATGATCTCTGGAGGGCTCGGGACAGGGGTTGTTCCTCTGTTCTGGTCCTGTTAGACCTCTCAGCGGCTTTTGATACCATCGACCATGGTATCATGCTGCGCCGGCTGGAGGGACTGGGGGTGGGAGGCACCGTGTTGCGGTGGTTCT